TGCAATGTGTGAGCGGGTTTATAATTTGGACTAGGCCTGAAATGATGTCCTGTGTCGTCGCCGCCTCACAGTGGCCGTGACATGGCCGAGACATTCAAATGTGTGAGCCGAGACTGAAATCAAACATAAAAAAAGACATTTTGACACAAAACAAAAAGACATTTTGGATACGCGACCCCTTTTATGTGTATACATATTATTTCACTTTATTTCATATTAGTTCATACTATTTCATGTTCTCTCATATTAGACTATGTTATGTTACATTATACTATGTTATAATATACTGTGCTGTAGCATATCGTATTATGTTATCTTATACAAATTTATATTATTGTATCTTTGCCTGTTTATGCTATACTATACTATCCTATACTATACCATACTATACTATACTATACTATACTATACTATACTATACTGTAGTCAATATACATACATATTTATACTTAGGTGCAAGTATGTGTATACACATTTACATGCCATCCAGGTACAGATTTGTAAAGGTATGTATGTATATTATATATATATATATATAAAGTTACTTATGATCTGTAGCTTCCAGGCGCAGGCCCATGCCTTCTCAAACCTGCTTCTCACCAGCGGGTGAAGAGTGCGAACCAGTCTAGTCAGTGTCACGAGTCACGATGCAATCTGAGTCGCAGGCACAACACTGGGAAATTCCGGTGATGCAGGCCGAGAGATCACTGGCAGATGAGTGTCCTCGGCACAACGGCCTCCATTGGGATCACGTACGTGCTTTGGAAGCTACTTCCGGGTATCGTGCTGCCATGGCTTGCCACAGGTGCACCTGGCGCATGCACAAGACCAGACATGCCTCCGTCAAACCCTTCTTTCTTCCGCACCTCTGCCTTCTCAGTGGTTCATGAGAAAGACTTCGAATGTCACCTCGGCAAGGAAAGAGGAGGTTCTTTACGTCCTAACCTCACAGGCCAACAGCTGGGCAGCTGGCGACCACCACACAGAGACGGAGCTGAAGGAAGTCTAGCTATATGATCGCGATAGTCTTACTGGAATGCGTAACTTCAAAACCCTTTCAGACTGCGCTTTCCTTTGCCCAGAGGCATCCATCCCGCACTTTTTGTTGCGACATGTTGCGACTCTCAGCCGTAAACACCCGTAAAACTACAGATGGTGCTGGGTTAGTTCAGGTATGTTCTTGTGCTGGAACTGATGCCACCTATGTGCACGACTGCCTCCCCTTGTTGATGTCTTTCAGAGCTCTGTCTAGAATGGCTTAGCTGAAAGATCCGATCCTAGACACTACGGGGTGACACACCAAAGCTGAGCCGAGGCGACGAGAGACGAACAACATCAAGCAAGGCCACGTCACTCGAGTGATATTGCCCACCAATGAATCAATATCTTCCTTCCCAACTATGCATCGAATGTTGCTCTAAACCAGCGACATCAATCCGTCAACCTGACACCCTGCGCAGCACAGCCCTCGCCGAGGAAGTTGGGCCGCTGAGGGTGAGGGACCTTCTGATGAAACGCCGCCTGCAGCTGTTTCAAGACCGGACCGGCATATTACAGCATTGGACTGCGAAGATCTCATTTACATCTCGAAGCACACGAGCACTTCCGGGGCACAGGCCCAGAAATCGTCTGGGCAGCAACGAAAATCGCCAGCTGCTCGGGAGTGGTCGTAGCCTTAGAGATTCTTCTGAGCTTGGCCGTTTCTACTTTGCGAGAGCGAACTGGGCCGCGGTCAACTTCTGGACTCGTCGCTCGGCTCACGCCGAACCTGGTGGCCGCTGGCTAGGAAGCTCTACTTCACGAAAACGTCAAATCTTCATGTCAAGCAGATCAGGAACCTGCATCGATGCGTAACCACCGTACGTGTGTTTTGCAGGAACTTTTTCAGGGGCGACTGCGCTCAGGGGAGCGACATCATGCAGGTGCCTCCGGAGGCCCATCTCGCCAGTGAGGCGGGCGTGAAAGGCAAAGCACCTGTTGCATGTTCGGTTCTGGACCCTTGGTCGATGTTGCCCGCATCACCTAAGCCGAACCAGCACCGTCTTAAACAGAGATTCGACCTGATCTGAACCTGCAAACCTGACACAGATCCTGCCTTGAGACCATCTGAGATCAAATCAGCATCGTCTGCCTGTTCCAAAGTCCGCTTGGTCTAGGCCATGGAGCAGAAATACATGAAATGTGGCACTGCTGGCAAAAGATCAGCTTTAGGGTTAGAATCCAAGAGTTTTCGAATGGTGATAGTCCTATCAATGAGGGGCCGTGAAACGATTGCAAGACCCTCTGAATACTTGCTCTGATGGCTGAATCCTCGCTTTAACCTCGCGGGACTCAGAAACGGATTCGCTCTGCCTGCCAGCAGAGGCCAACTCCGCAAAGCGGCACCTCCACTGATCACATTACCGTGATGCTGCAGTCACTGTCGCTCATGCTGAATAAAACCGTCAACCGGAGAGCACGGCTTTCGTCAGAATCCTCAGATCCAAAGGCCCTGCTATGCTTACCCTGCTCAACCCCCCACCCCCCGTAGCCCATGGACGCTGCCTGGACCGTCGCCTCTCCAGCCATGGATGGGGTGGGCGACCTGCACGACTGCACTTTCTTAAGCAGCCTGATCCGTGACTCCCCCTGTGCACGTGCCACCGGGCCTGGGCGCGCTGGAAGCCTGCGGCACGAAACAAAGGGAACACAACGACATGCTTAGAATCAGGAGTCTAAGACGAACGAGCAGTCAAGAAAACCGAATGCAGCTACGATGAAGAGTTTTTCCGTTCAGCTCTTGGCAATGACATTTAGGCTTACACCGCAGGCTGGCGGCAGCGCAGAGTTTGCCCTGGCCTGGGTGCCCTCCTCGAAGGGATCCGGCCAAAGGTGGTGAAAGTCGTCGGAGTCGGCTGCAGTTCAGAAAAATAGAGCAAGTGTAAGAGCAGAAACAGTATATCACTCTCCAGCCAGGAATCTCTTGCGGCCTTCACTCGAGCCGTAACTGGACTCCCAGTCGTCATCTGCATAGTCATCCCCTATGCAATCGTCTTCCTGCCGACCAAAGGAAGTTGACACGCAGTCAGGCGATGTTCATTCGTGCGATATCGCTCAATCGCTCAAGCACACAGCATCTGTGAGAATCAGATGTCCTCATTGTAATAGTCACCATCTACATCGCCAGTATCCTGCTGGCCAATTTGGCAATCATTCGCCCGAGCATGTCCAGAACATACCCGAATCACTAGAAACACATAGTCATGAACATGCCCTGCTGTCGACTTTCAAAGTAACTGAAAGTATCAGACAGTGTCAAGCAATACCTGCTCGTCGTATCCGTCCATGTCACGTGTGTCGTCGTCCATTTCCTGCACCGTGCGAAATTAAGTGACAGCCAAGGGACAGAGCACATGTGCAAAGGTTTTGGAGCAGACCTCCTCGAAGTCGTCATATGGCTTTCGGCAACTGACAAACTCCGGCTCATCGTCATTTGGAACATCCTCCAGCGCGTGGAAGCTCAACTCACTTGACACACCCGAAACAGCAGTAATTAAGACTAAACGAACTGGACCTCCAAGAATTTATGTCTCGCGAAACCAGAAGGAGGTGGCGACATTGCATGTGCTCCGATGACAATGTCTTGAGATTGTTGGTTTTCCACTGGTGTGATGCATCTAGGACTTTGCAGACCAGTAGTTGCGGTCAGCTTATGATGTCGTGTACTGTATCGCATGGTGAAGTGAAGGGCTTCGATGGTCAAAGAGCTTTGCATGTCCGTGTATTTTCAAGTCTGCGATGCGGCTTGAACAGACCATAGTTGTACTTAACACTACCGCCTGTTGAGCCAACCCTTGAGGCATGCATCACATCTAAACTGCCTTGTCGACATATCTGTTTGATTTCTGAGCAAGTTCGCCCACAAGAGCCAGATGGCTCTTAAATGTGAAAATATGTATTATTCAGCAAGGAAAACGGACAAACTTAGTTCTGCAAACACACCGATACTACCTCGATAGCTGTTTGCAAACCTGTGGCATTTGCCTAGCTCTATTCTGTCTCTCTGCTTGCACGTTGCTGCTGTAAAATATGGTTCGAAGCTGCAGACAAGCATCATGAACACATGAGAATTAGTTGGACAGCGATGTTAGCCAGCGCCCCTCTCTCTAGCGAGGGTGTTCCAGCTCTCCACTGTGTGATAGCTACAGGCCTTGTTTCGAGACATAGGGTAGAATTCGGTACTTTGGAGCACTGTCGATTCGCGGGCCTACGGCCCGCAGCTCGAGCGATCTTAGGGGCTTTAAAGTGTTTGCAAAACGGGATTTAGAAGAGCTTTAAGGGGCGCGCTACTTGTGAGCAGCCGACGAGTGGCTTGCGAGCCACTTAAGAGCTGCACGCCTAGCAGCACAAGAGCTGCTTATAAGCTGCACGCCCAGCAGCACAAGAGCTGCTTATAAGCTGCACGCCCAGCAGCACAAGAGCCGCTTGTAGGCCCAGCAGCACAAGAGCTGCTTATGAGCTGCACACGAGCTACTGCCAAACAGCTCACGGGCTACTGCCAAACAGCTCCGAAGCTCCCCCCCGCCAACAGACGCACGCGCGCGTCACTCCCAAACAGCTCCGGAGCGCGACGATCGCGACGAAGCACCCCAAACAGCTCGCGAGCCCCCCGCGCACCCTCAAAGTGCTTCGAAGTCGCGCGCGCCCGGTTTTGCAAGCACTTTAGAGCCCCTACGATTGCGGACCCTACGGCCTCGAGCCCTCAAAATCGACAGACCTTCAAAGTACCGAATTCTACCCCATGTCTCGAAACAAGGCCTGTAGCTATCACAGAGTGGGAGCTGACAACACCCTCCCTAGAGAGAGAAAAATTGTGCCGAAATGCCGATGACAGGCCATGACAGAGCGACGGCGTCCCTGTCATCGCCCAATGTCCCGAAACTCCAGCAAAATCGCACCGAAACTGCCCGCGACAGCCCATAACAGAGTGTCGGCGTTTTGTCCTGGTGCCAGCGACCCGAAAAACAAGCCAAATGTCGCAGAAATCCCCCCGAGGCGAGCAATGACAGAATGACAGACTGACAGAATGACAAGCCTCCGCCTGGCCCCCGAGCCGGCCCCCCTGATGCCAGGTAGCTCACCACTCACCGCCGTCACCGCTACCCTATCCTATCCCTACTCTACCCTAGTGGGCACACTGGGCCGGGGCACAAAGCCGAGGAAGCTCGGTTGACCGAGGTGAGGCTCTGTGTTCTGGAACGGTGGCCCAGC